TAACCCACTTTTACTGCGTCTATCAAGAAGAGCAGACCTTAAAACGTGCGGACGACGAAACAGCTGCGACTACTTGAAGGGTTGGTGTATTTCGATATTTTCATTTCGTCTCAAGTAGATGATATTTTTGTATTCATTAAACTCTGCTTCAGCTTTTGCTTTTATTTGCCGTTCAATATAACGTTCACAGTGCCTTGATTTCTGAACCAGCTGCACATATCTCTCAAGTTCCCACTATAGCTGTGTATCATCGCAAAAGCAATATATGTTTATCTCCTATGAGATTTGCTTTATTTAGAGAAAGTGGATCACCTCTATAAGCGCATTCGTCTCTCAAGGAGTTTCATTTTCTGCATATTGAGAGCTGGAGTATATTGCAGCATACAGTGGCGGAGAGACAACCAAAATTACATCTTTTCATCAAACGTAATCAAAATTAGTTTCAGACCATATCAATATTAAACAATATGCAAGTGAAAAATCATATGGTTTTAGGCTATTAGGCCGTTGTCTGCTATGTTGAATGCTTGACGTTTCCTGTAAAAAACCTATAAAACGTCAAAAAAAAACTATAATATGTAGTTTTTAGGGCGCAAATAGTAATTCCTCGTTTGCTCACTAGGATCGTTGTGAACGTCCATCTATGGAGAAATCACTGAACTAAACTACACACATTATTGGTGAGGCTGAGTGATCGGTGTCTGTAGTTTTTATCTCTGAGAAGAAAGTTGGTTGAATAGCAAGATCGCATCTGGATGATTATGTGTATTGGTCTGCATGTGTATAAAATCAGTGACATTTGCTGTGTGAGAAAATCATTACTGAATATGCCGATGATGACGGGTTATTAATATGTTGTGCTCAAAGTTATAAATTACGAAAAACTGAGAAGAATTACGGGAAATCATCACCGCGCCCGCGTTGTGTGTAATTACTGTTAGCATCTATGTAGCTTGTAATTCGACAGTGTACAGTGAATATACAATTATTTCTTATCTCTCTCATTTTTGAAATTCAACAAATTTGTATATGTAATTTCCAGAATGGTTAAGAAAAAGTGGATGCGCAACTAATTTCTAGCTTCGAATCTCAATTAAGAGTATTTGAGACAAGAACCCAGAGCAATTATCATCAACACATACAACTTACAGCTTAGACCTCCAGTAATGCCATCTCAGAAGCAGATTTTACATCACATCAGAGCGAAAGATTGATAACAAGCCTCATGACGTTTAGGCAACACGTACAACTAAGTGCTAAGTTAACATCTTGTAGAAAAACCTAAATAATGTCAAAAAAACAGCATAATGTCAAAAAAAAATCGGCATAATGTCACTTCTCAAGATACGTGATACACGTGCGGTTGGCATCTTCCGAAGTTCTGCAATCTTAAAGTCTAGGATGACACTGTCATGACTCTGACTCTTGTCGTGTCCGGTGTTCGTATTTATGGGTACCGCTTGAGTTCTCGGTCATTGTCGCACTGGTCGGATCGTTATTGAAATTGCGTTGTCCTCATGTTTTTGATCAGTGGTCATGATGTTTTTGGATTTCTATGGCTTCTCTCTACCGTCTAATAGCCCAAATAAATTTGGTACTTGAAATGAGGGCCGTAAAAGCCTTACTCAATTCAATGTTCGAGGGTGCAAAAGTTTCATTATTTTCAAGAATAATAATCTAAAAATGAAACAATACTCATACATTGCTATGCTATATTATATACTACATTTGGATACATCACACCATAGGATTCTGATGATTATTATTATATTTCCTAAAGAAAAACGACAAAATCGACATTGAAAATAGTGATTTTCAGACGACAAAAGTTTGGAACATTTTTCGACAGCGTATATGGATCAAATAAAGTAGAATTTTAAATGAAAATGTATCTAGTTTAATCAGCATCAATCGCAGTCATGGGAAACAGTATTCCGTCGCAGAGTTGTGTACATTATTGAACATTGTCAGAAGTTTTCTTTGTAAAATAAACTACCATTTTTCTTTTTTCGAAAGGCTTCTGTGCAGTAATAATACTACCCTCTAGAAAAAGGTTTTCAATGCAGCTGGTGAATTGGACACTCTGTAACATACCCCACGGCAATGCACTTAACACACGATAAACTACAAATTCCACCACACTTCATTAGCGCACACCGAGGAAATACAGGGTGTCCGCAAAGTTGGGGTTTTCCTTTACACGACGTGTAGATCTTGAAAACATAAGCAATTTTTCTTAGTACCATATACACCAATGTCTTAAGGGAATCGAGGTAAAGGGCTCTGCAACATCAAACATATCTGAATACCGTCCTGTAGCCGCGACCCGCGACATCACCGAGTGGTACAAGGTCACTGGCTCAACCCGACGACAGAACTGGGTCTGGGTCAGTGTGTCAGGTCAGTATGCAACCTTCAACCGACGGTTACGTTCACGCGTAATGGGGTGAATAACTTTCGCAACACTCATGTTTGGTCAGTAGAAAATCCGCACACTGTCCCGTCGGGTACATTTTCAACAAACATTTTCGGTGAATGTTTGGGCTGGCATGGTGAACGGTATGCTCATTGGACCATTTATTCTCCCAAATCGATTGGACGGGATGCAATACCTAGACTTTTTACGCAACACTTTGCGTTCCTTGTTAGAAGATGTGCCATTAAGTGTAAGACAATCAATGTGGTTTCTGCACGATGGTGCACCGCCCCATTTTACACGCGCAGTGCGTGAGTTTTTGAATGAATTATTTCCGAATAGGTGGATCGGACGTAATGGACCCGTAGTGTGGCCTCCGCGATCTAGAGACTTAACACCATGTGATTTTTTTCTTTGGGGAGAAATGAAACGCTTAGTGTACAAAACTGATGTGCATACGGTTGACGAACTTCGTCTCAGAATTGAACAAGCTGGTGCTTTCATTCGGGGGAGGGACTCCATTCTCAAAGCCTGCACCGATGCTTGGCTACGTCGTGCACGCACCTGTGTTTTTGAATCAAACGGCGATAACTTCGAACAATACCTATAAAGTACGTTTACCTAAAAACTGAAAACGCGGCAACGCCGTCATATTTGTTACCTCTGTTCGTGGTCTGCACCACCGCCTGCGTCTGCTCGGTAGCGCATCAGCTGATTTCATTTTCTGTTGGAGCGGTATGATTTCGGGCAGAGACGTACTTAGCCCTTCTCGTTAACTGGAGAGTGAGTACCTTTTCCTTTATTTTTTTTACTTGGTCGCCCTCATTTCACTACACATTACCTTTTTTATTTCAAGGGTAGTTGTTTCCGAAAGGGACAACCCCAACTTTGCGGACACCCTGTATATTTCATCGGTATCCAGCTCAACAATATAACCCTATACATTATTGAATACTGCCACAAGGTTCCTCCTTGTAGTAAACTTTATTTTCTGTTTTCGTGATGCTGCTGCCCTTCCTTGACGAAGGTTTGCGATGTAGCTGTTCAGCTGAACACCCTGTAACATTTGTCTTTCATATCCCACAACAATGCACTTGAAACACGATAAACTAGAGGCAAACTAGAGGCAATGACCTCGTTTTCTGTTCGATCAACCCAATCCACAGCTTCGCTGATGACAGCACCCTACATGCAGGAATTCAGTGTGACAAGCCGATCTCTGCCGCCGAGCTGGAAAAAAGAAGACTAGCAACGACTTTCTCTCTGACGAGACACCTGGAGGTTATCACTGCTTGGGGACGCAACAATCTTGTACAGTTTAATGCTTCCAAAACTCAGTACTGTACATTGACGAACAAAAAGCGTCATATCGCTCATCCGCTTTCGATGGATGGCCGAGATCTGCCAAAGTGCCGTTCATTTCGGCTGGTCGGAGTTCAGATCACCGAGGATTTGATCGGGACTAGCCTCGAGAATTGCTCACACGTTTGGGATGCTGCCGCCCCAACTACATTATTTATGATCGATGCTGTCCCGAGGAGCGCTACCCGACTGATCTCTTTACTTTGTACATCCAGAACTGACCGATACGGCCGCTCCTTTGTCGCGAGGGTGTCGAGATTGTGATACAATCTACAGGAGGAAGCTTTTCCCAGTTCTACTAACCTTAGGCAGTTCAAAAATCGGATTAACAAAATTTCTTCATAGCAGCCGCGGTGCTCCGGCATTTAAGTTTCTGCCTGCGCGGCTGCTTCGGTATAAAAAAAATGTTGGCGCAATGAACGTTCCAATGTCTGACCGATGGGTGGTTGGCGAATGAGGAGGTTAGTCATAACAACGTTGCCAGATCATTGATGCTGTCGTAGGGTAGGGGAGAAATTCATCCATTTAATTTCTATGACAGGCATCTTCGTAGCAAACTAATGATAGCGTTGCATGGTCAGTTTTGACGCCACCTTTATCTGCCCGTAACAAACTGAACCCATTTGTTAAAACTAACTGTCTACGCCTGATAATTCGTAAGCGGTGTATATTTCCGATCGTACCAAGATTAATGACAATCGAATTGTTTGTAGCATGCAGTGCTGCAGACAAATGCTCGCATACAAAAGAATTCTGCACCGCTTTACGTACTGTATTGTTCTCGTCTATTGCGGAACAGTTCCCGTACATTATTTGCTTTTCCAGACATTGTGCAAACTCGGATATGCACATCGCGTAATGTCAGCTGTACATTGTCGTTAAGGCAGCTGGGTCGACACCCAGTGTATTACCGGCCTAGCGAGAGAACACAAGGCAAAGGAATTTTATTATTGAATAAAATTATTGCTGATTTGTTCTTTGAGCTTTCAAGCACTCCATGCCATTACCTGTTGAAAACTAGTGTATTTTGGGTATCAACATGTAGCTTCTACTTTTTGAATCTTATGTGTTTTGTCACACAGCGTGCGATAAAAGGCGCCTGTTATGGGCATCTGCGGCGGGGATCATCGGCATGCCGCGGTATCCCCACTCTACCGAGTAATCCATACCGGCGTAAGCTGGTGAAATATCAAGTGCTCACGGTATCGTCGGTAATATATACGTCCTGTTTTTCAAGTTGCTACTTTGCTGCCAAGCGATTAAAGAAATCCCTCTACTTACGGAGCTGTCTGAGTTCGTCCACGTTTGAATATACCCCAAGACATTTACCTGAAATAAAAAACAAATATATATATATATATAGTATTTATTCAGGATTATTTCCATCTAAGTTCTAAAATGGTTAGACCCTGCTTAAGTAACATCACATCTCAAAGACGCCCACTGTCGTCTGGGAAGATTTAAATTAGTCAGTTTATTGACGTACCCTAACATCCGTCGACATTTAACCCTCGTGTTCTCTTGTGAACAAAAAATTGAAGTAGGCAGACCTCACGGTCGTAGGTAAGTTTTAGTTTTTTGGGTTGTGTTTAACTGACAAACAGTTTTTTGCAAACGATTACGGGAGGCAGATAGTCGATTTTTTTCATTGACTAGCTTATATGAAGCTAGCAACAAATAAAACAATGAGGCAGGCCGACCTATTCGATCCTATTGCCTTTACCATTTTTTCTTGATCCACGATCTTTAAGGTTGAGTGTCTTGACTATACAGGATGTTTTTAAAATTGTGAATTCAAGTTCAAATAGAACTTGTGACATCAAATGTGATCCTACACTAACCAATAATTCGGTGGAAAGTGATTGTGATTGTTTCCTTGGTCGATTCCATCCTGCACCTCCTGACAGGGCGATACTTGAAATTACTTACTAAATGAACTTCGGCTTTTTCACTTATTTCACTGCTGTTCAAGGCATAGTTATATCTAAGAGAAAATTTCAACGTCCAAACCCCCTGTATGGTGTTCTGACTACAGATGTGATACATACAGATATGACAGTGACTTTCGGTCCCTTTGATCTTGGTGTCACTAGCTATTTGACTAATTACCCTTGAATATAAAAATAATTACTGAGAAACAGGTTGTTGCCGCTTTGAAAAAGATTAAAGCCAAGGTATCTTTCACTCCAGATCTAATCCCTGCATTTTTACTGAAAGGCTGTGCTTTTGTTTCAGCTGAGCCTTTAGCTTATCTGTATAACACATCTCTTAATACTACATTTCCCATGGCTTGGAAAACATCTAGGATTGCTCCCATATTTAAAAAAGGCAAACGTTGTGTCATTGAGAATTATAGAGCTGTTGTGATTATAAGCAACGTTGGTAAGGTTTTCGAATCTATATTGCATGATATAATTTTCTCCCATGTTAAGCACAAAATTTCTCCAAATCAACTAGATCACGGTATTTTGTTCAAGAAACTAGCTACGCGAGGGTTGACCCATCAATTCGTGAATTTTTTCAAATCTTATCTTACAAACAGACACTTAAAAGTCGAATACAGGGGCTTCATCTTCACTCAGATTATACCTTCTTCCGGCTTACCTCAAGGGTCTGCTCTTGGCCCTTTGCTTTTCCAAATTTTCATTGATGACGTCGCTGGGGAGCTACACAGTAGCTGTCTTCTATATGCAGATGACTTGAAGATTTTTTGTAAAATTGAAACCATGGACGACTGTAATATATTGCAAAACGACTTGAGCAACCTAAATAAGGAGTGTTACCGTAACAAGCTGTACCTTAATGCTGATAAATGCTACACTATGTCTATTACGCGCAAACTTGTTCCAATCAGATTCATATATAACACTGATAATTCGCAACTTAACATGTGTGAAGAGTTTCATGACAGGTATATTCTTTGATACTAAACTTACATTTGTTTCGCATATTGATGCAGTTGTAAGCGAGGCCTATAAAAGTTTGGGCTTCATTATCAGGAACTGTAGGGATTTCAATAATGTGTATACCATGATCTCCTTATATAATTCATTTGTTCGATAATAAATTGAATACTGCTCTATAATATGGTATCCTGTTCATGAAGATCACTCGAATAAAATTGAACGTATTCAGAGGCGGTTTGTGAAATATTTGTGGCACTAGGAAGATGATACGTATCCAGAAGTTGGCTTCAGGCATGATGTATTACTTAGCAGATATAACCTCTGTAACTTGGAGAAGCGCAGAAACCACGCTGCTTGTGTATTTTTATATAAAATGCCTAATAATGTCATAGATTGTGAATATTTATTCGGTAAGATTCTTATTCATGTACCTAATGCTAAGACGCAATCCAATTCCAAATACTTTTACATAAACGTAGCTAGAACCAATGCGTTGCTTTCGTCTCCGATATATGTAGTATGTAACAACTATGAGCATGCAAGAAACGCTGTAGATTTGTTCTTTTGTAATTTGAGTAGCTTAAGAGGATTTTACATAACTGTAGGTTAAGTCATTTGGCAATTAAAATTGATTCCTGTGTCCCTATCCGTTAAATGGTGTAATAAACCCTTCGGATTGTGTATATACTAGTGAATAAATAAATAAATAAATATCCTACCGATTACTAATGTGCTCCCGAAACTCTTTGAAAGAGAGAAAACAGCACCGTCAGAGATAAGCGGGAGGAAGCAGATTGTGTGGCCCTGATCACGAGTACTGTCAATGACGAAAGCCTGTCAAAAATCGGATATGTTAGGTTTAGTGGAATTTGCATGACCGTCGCTGTCATACATTCGAACAACAATTTAAAAAGTATACCAAGAACATGTGTCGCGACTCTTTCGCACCGAAGCACACGAGTCGTCGTCGATCTGGCTTTCTTCTGTCGCTATGTCAACGGACATTGATCAGGTTTTTTTTGTTAGGTTAATATAGCTGAATTCGCAGAAACATCACTTTTTTAGATTCAAGATTGCAGTTACGCCCCTTAGCGTTTCCAATTTTCCAGGTTTTTCTCTTGGCTGTTTTCGTAATAACTGTTTTGCCGCAAGCCTGTACGACGGATAGGTTCCCAGATACGGTACCTCGCATTCTTAGTTGGCCACGTCTTCCAGAGGTATGTTTCTCTAGATATCATCAGGAATAAGTTTTTTATTCAATAGGGCATGTAATTATTGAAACGAAATGTATGATAAAACTTTTGGTATGATCTTTGAGATTTGGCCACCTTAGGGAAAATTTGCTTAAACCCGTTTTTCAAAACGTTTTGGAGGCTCATGCTTCCTACGATATCTATTTCTGCAAGTTAAGTAAAACTGATACGAGGGATGTCCTTTAAGTTTTGCATATAGAAACATAGTAGGCCGCGCGGATCGAACGTCAGTACTGAATCTTAACCTCACTCTTTAGTAAACTTAAATTCAAAGTTTCACAACAATACGTGCAGTATTCTCACTGCAGTCAATTAGAAGTCATTAGAAAAATGGAACTCAACCGAGAACATTTTCGCGCCATAATTACAACTTTCAGAGACAATTATCGCAACAAGAATGCCTTGCTGAGTTACTGTCTGTTTTCGGCAACGAAGCATCACATCAGTCGACAATTTCCCGTTGATATGGAGAATTCAAACGTGGACGGGTGAGTCTTAGTGACGATCCCAGGGTGCACCAAAAACGGCAGTCACCCAGGAAAACGTCGATGCTGTGCACAAACTCATCATTGAAGAGACATGTGACATATCGCGAGATTGAGGCGTCCTTGAAGATCTCAAAGACCTCAATTCAAAAAATTTTACATGAAGAATTAGGAGTAAGAAAATTAGTTTCTCGTTGGATACCCCACCTGTTGACTGAAGAGCAGAAAGCAGCCAGGGTTAATTGGTGTCAAAAAACGCTTGACCGTTTCAATTCCGGAATTTCAAAAAATGTGTACAGCATTGTTAGTGGTGATGAATCGTGGATTTACTGTTATGAACCAGAAAATAAACGACAGTCGGATGTTTGGGTGTTCCAAGGTGAGGAAAAGCCAACAAAAGTCATCCGTTCTCGAAGTGTTTCGAAAAAGATGGTCGTGACATTTGTGTCAAAAGCGGTTCATATAATAATAATAATAATCCGGCTTTATTTATACAAAGTATTAAAAGGCGAAGTCTCGCTAAAAAACGTTTTTCAACTTAACCCATATTGCAACAATTCCTCTTAATGAGCAAATAACTGTTACTGCGGATTGATATACCACCATTTGTTTGCCAAAAGTCATCACCGAGCTTCGAAAAATCAACCCCGAAAGAAGAATCATCCTCCACCAAGACAATGCAATGTCTGGGCACACAGCCCAAAAAACAAGGCAGTATTTAACGGAAGAAAACGTGGAATTATTGGACCATCCTCCATATAGAAAATTAAAAACAGACTGCGTGGTCAAAGGTTCCAGTCACCAGAAGAAGCAGTTGACGCATTCAAAAATGCCGTTTTGGATCTACCAGCAAACGAATGGAATAAGTGCTTCGAAAATTGGTTCGAGCGCATGCAGATGTGTATTAATCTTCGTGAAGAATACTTCGAAAAATAATAAAGTCATTTAAAACTACCTACCGTGTTGTTTTATTTCCATATGCAAAACTTAAAAGACATCCCTCGTAATATGTGGCAACAATGGAAAAAATAGATGACGAAAAATACAGTCCACTAGTAAAAGTTTATCTGAGTTAAGTACCTCAAATACCCCAACTTTATTGTGACTAAGTATGTCCAGTTACAGACTTACAAAGTGTCTATTTTCAATTCAATTCAATTCAATTCAATGGACTTTATTGTAACACATACATAATTATGTCGTTACAAATGGCGAAGTCTGGCCAATGGCCATTTATACTTAACCATAAATATCATGTCAATGCTTATTACTACCTTAAAAATAAAATAAAAAACTGATAAAGAAAAGGAAAAAGAAGAATAATAGTAAAAGAAGAATTAATAAATATGACATAATGCGTACGATTAGAACAAAAAACATAATACGTACGATTCAAAGAGAAGACAATAATCTAAGAGCTCAATAAGTAGTTCTTATATTTTTTTTTAGAAAAGTTGCTGATGAAACATTGTTCGAGAGAGTTGATCAATTTCACCGCATTATACGTAAAAGACCGTTGAAAAATGACTGTCCTATGTTGTGGCATTGTCAGAGATTAATGTTGCGCGTATTCAAATTGTGAATTAAATTCCTACGAACAAGCTTTTGCATAAGATAAACCGGAACAGAAGTTTTTAATATTTTTACGACAAATGTAACAAAGTTGTATTTGAAAAATATTGAGT